CGTACTGTGAACCCGAAGATCCTAGCTTTTGCTCGTCGCTTCTTTTTATTTTTTTGTAACTTCCTTTTAACGGCATGCATGCATGAATATGCAGAAAGAGCTTGATCTGGGATTTTGGAGGTTCAGCGCATAAGGCAGCTTTGCATTATTTTTCTCTTGGTGACTTGAAAAGTCGTGGACTGAGTGTAATGAGGATGGATTAGGACATCTTAAAATGCAACATGTCTTTCTAATATCCTAACTCTTAAATGCGTTGTGTGTAGGTAGATGGTATACTCAAAGCATGCAAGCCCTAAGCCCCGATGGGACCCCTAGAGAATGCACTGGTTTCCACAAAGGTAAATATGGGAGATTCCAAGCTAGCCTAAAAACTGATTTGCTTTATTCTCAAGAGATAGGGTTTATTTCTTTAATTTTAACTTTTGAAGCTATTTCTCTTACTGATAAACTGAATCGCTAGCCAATATGTTTTCCTTATATCTACACAACTCTTAAGGCTTTTAAAGAGTAATACAGAATGTTTGCAACGTATTTTTCAGTGCTGAGCCTTTGTGAAAACCAGTGGATTTTTTTCTTTTGTTGAGAGATAGATTGTTTACTTTTCACTTGGGCAGAGAAAATTCATAGCCAACAAATTCATTACTAACTGTGAAGCCTTATATTTGAAAGAGAAAAAGATACTGGATATATAAAAGTATACAAACTCAAATTTAGGGGCCAGGCTCGAACTGATGGTTGTGGTCTAGATAGAAGCAATAAGAAGGCTAATCTTTAGTTGTTCATTTCTTGCACTGTCATCAAAAGTTACACCAGTAGTCCTGGTCAGACCTGGAGTTTCATTTCCCATATTAAACAGCACCATACCCAGAGAAGAACCTGTCAAAAAGTAAGTCACAAATAAAAATTTTTGTGAATGATATAGGTAAGGGTCAGATCTTTCAGTCCTGCTCAAATCAGTTGTTTCCAGTGACATCACTCACTGTACGGTCTGACTTTCATCTATATTTTGTTTTGAGTTCATAGATCATAAATGTTAATTTTCTGCAGCTGTTTAAATTGCTATGTGTTGTGTTACTCGGCTACATAACTGGAAAAAAGTAACTTCAAGGCAGTCTTGTTACTTCATCAGTCCAGTGTTTTCAATATGTTTTTTCTATGTACTCAAGGTGACAACAGAGGTTGGAAAGCTTCTTGGTGAAGAAAAGGTGGATGCAATCTTGTGTGTAGCAGGAGGATGGGCTGGAGGCAGCGCCAAAGCTAAATGTAAGCCTTTGGTACATGCACGCTAGTGAACACATGAATGAAATCTGAGAAGAATCCTTACAAATCATGGTAATAAAGATATTTGACATCATCTTTCATCCCGAGTCCAGAAGAAGAAAAGAGGGTAAAAGTACAAAATAGCTCAGTCACAATGCTTCTTAGTGCTTTGCTGAATTTTTCCTGTCTGTTAAATTTGCATAGTGCTTAGTATTCTCAGTAATACTTTTTGGTGCACCAATTTTCATCGGCAAAATCTTGATGCACTTTATGAAGGAGTTCAGCATTATTATCTATGAACTAACTTTTGCCGAGGTTACCTGTGTGAGGCAAGTTACATAAGAAATGGCTGGATAGAAACATCGATGTTGTCTCCTAATTCATTGCTTTATGCATAAAACCTCAGTTGCCTCCTGCAGCTCTCTGAGCTATTACTGTGCAATACAGTATTGGAAGGAGCTGTCTAATAACCTGAGATCATGCTACAGAAAAAAGCTTTTAAACGTGTAATATTCAGAATGAAATTTTATACTTTACCTACTAATGTAGAGATACAAGAAAAAAACAGCCTTGATTTCTGTCTGGAGTGAATCTGGTAAAATGTGTCCTTTTCTTCCCCCTTTCCAGTTTGGACATTGCAGGCAATGATTTCTTTTTAGAGAGAGACAATATGGAAAGGCATACACACTTACACCACAGTTGTGTTATATTAGATTGTTATTAGTGTGCACCGTGTTTTAAATAGGGTAATTTATCATAACCATAACTGATAGTGGTGATGTTGGTAGGGTAGCAGGATATCTTGGGATAGGTGGTTGGCTTATGTCACAGAGTTACTTATGCTTAGTCCATCTTGTGTTATGGAAATGGTTCTTTCTGAATACTGAGATCTTTGACATGGCTAGTTATTGTTTTTCTTCTTTTCCCATGCAGATATTGGTAATAAAAAACAATTATGAGAGTTCAGATTTTGCTTTTATTTGAAGTTATTGGTGTACCTCCCTCGGTAGGCTGCCTTACCAGAGGTTGCACTCCAGTATGTAGGGGCACTGGAATGCACACTTAGTACAGTGCAGATGCATGCACCGTCAATATTCCATACCAGCGAACTACTGTCAGACGGTCAGATTGTTTCTTGGTTTATGAAGTAATCTGGTGATAAGAAATATCTTTTATTCAACTCCTTTTTCTCTTGGAGTCTTCTATCTGCATACTAATGGAGCGTAGCTCTTTTGCAGCTGAGGAAGTTACGGAAAGAGAGAAATCATGCTACTACAAGGTGAGATGGGGCTAATGTGAGAGTTTTGAGATCCGTGACATAGATTGAAGCAAGCCCTACAGGAGTTTCAAGAACTTGGAAATCTTTAAACCATTAATGGAGAGCTAATGGAACTATCTTGTGTTTTGGGTTTTTTTTATTTATTTCTGGTAGTGAGAAAGCAGATAATTGCCTAGAATATATGCTGTAGAGCTGGGACTTGGAGCCCAAAGAGAAGGGAGATACAAAAGACATAAATTCATATTTTACCCAGTGTGAAAGTAGAAGATGGTAGAAAGCATGTTTTCATAGTGCTGTTGCATTCTGTGTGACAATAAGGAAATTAGAGTTAGAAGGCTTCTATCTTTTAGTTAATTTAATTTTAGTTAATTTCACTCTTCCTAATCAGCTTTATACAAAAACTGTGATCTGATGTGGAAGCAGAGCATTTGGACATCCACTATTTCCAGCCACCTAGCCACAAAACATCTCAAAGAAGGCGGCCTCTTGACTTTGACAGGAGCTCAAGCTGCTTTATCTGGAACTCCAGGTAAAATGCAATGTACGATAACTGCTGGGTCATCGGCAATTACAGCTATCTG